TTTAACACCTTGAAGAAAGGCAGAGCCCTTTCAGCAGACCGGGAGAGAAAACGGCTCAAGGCTGCTAGCCGCCCGGTAAGTCGTTGTACGTCCTTCAGCGAACTGGGCGACCTCATTTCAGTTATGGCCTTAATCTTCTCCGGATTAGGCTCAATACCACGCTTGGTCACCATAAACCCTAGAAACTTGCCGGTCTTTACAGCAAAGACGCATTTCTTGGGATTGAGACGCAAGCTGTACTTAGCCATAATCTCGAAGCAAAGCCTCATGTCAGCCGGGTGATTTGTCGCGCCCGGGCTTTTGATCAGCATATCGTCCACGTAAGCTTCCATGGATTTACCGAGGAGTGGCTTAAAAAGCCGGTTCACCATCCTTTGGTAAGTGGCGCCCGAATTCTTTAGTCCAAAGGCCATCACCCGGTAGCAATAAGTGCCTTCTGGTGTCAAGAAGGAAGTCTTCTCCTCGTCCTCCTCAGCCATGAAAATCTGATGGTAGCCTTTGAAAGCGTCCATGAAGCTGAGCAATTCACACCCGGCGGTCTCATCGACCATCTGATCGGGACTGGGCAGCGGGTATGAATCCATGGGGCATGCCTTGTTCAGATCCGTGTAATCCACGCACATGCGCCAGGTGTCGCCTTTTGGAGCCAAGACGACGTTAGCCAGCCAGGCCGGGTATTGTACTTCCCGTATGTGCCCGACCGCCAACAAGTCCTTGACTTCTTTCTTCACAAAGTCCCTACGGACGTTCGCCAAGTGCCTCTTCTTTTGTTTCACAGGCCGGCTCCCTTCCATCACAGCCAAACGATGGCATATGACAGAACGGTCAATGCCCGGCATGTCCGCCACACTCCAAGCGAAAATATCTGCATATTCCCGAAGAATTGAGATGATTTCACCTCGAAGTCCTCCGGGCAGATCTCTTCCGATCCGTACCATTCTTTCTGGGAAGGCTTCTCGGAGAACAATCTGTTCGGTTTCATCACCCGGCTCTAGCTTCGACCGCTCTTTTTCCTGAGAGACCAAAGTGACTCTCTCAAATGCCTTGGTCATTTTCTTTACGGCCTCCAAGTAGCAATGCCGGGCCTTCTTTTGATCTCCTCTGACTTGTCCTATACCGCCCGGGGTATAGAATTTCATGCAGAGGTGGGCCATGGAGATGACTCCACGGACCTTGTTTATTCCAGGTCGGCCTAGGATGGCGTTATGAACTCATTTGATGTTCACTACCACAAACCTCATTTGTTTCTGGACGACCTGGTCTCCTGTGCCCAACTCACAAGTAAGAAGGATTGACCCTTCAGCTTCAACAGAGTCCCCGGTGAACCCGGACAGGGGAGTCTTTAAGGGCTCAAGCCGTGTCCGACACAACTTGAGCTTTTCAAATGCATCCAAGTACAAAACGTTGACATTACTTCCCGTGTCAACGAGTACCCGGGAGACATCGACTCCACCCATGTCCATAGTTATAACCAGGGGGTCATTGTGATCTTCTCCGGTGGCGGGGAGGTCCCGGTCAGTAAAAGTGCTCGGTTCCCGTCTTGCTTGTTTTGACCGGGGATTGAGGGCTACCGTCCCTACGTAGAGTTCTCGCCCCCACTTCTTCCTTTGGGAAGCAGAATCTCCCCCTTCCGGTCCACCGTAGATGACCTGTAAATGCTCTTTACCGGCTGTTTTCTTCTTTTTATTCTGCTCGGCCGGTTGTCCTTCTGGTCTGACCCATTGGTTCTTCTTTTGCTTAGCCTGGGCCAGATATTCAGGATCAATCTCACCGGCCTCAATCATCTGCTTTATTACTCCCTTCACACTGTTACACTCTGCAGTGTTATGGGAATCAGTTTTGTGAAAGGAGCAATACTTCTCCGTCCATTGTTTCTCGCTGGTCAGTTTCTTCTCTGTTTTGACCGGCTTTACCTCCATGACTTCTGCTTTTATCTTACCGGGCAATGTAATTTCCTTTTTCAAGGAAACTTTTCCCTTTGAGTGGCCCTGCTCGGCCTCCCTCTTGGATGACACCTGAGCTTCAGCGTCAGCATAGTCCCAGGCCGTGTTATAGGCCTCCTGATAGGACTGGGGAGGCCTCCTGCAGAATTCTTTGTATAGTTCTCCGGACCGGAGCCCGGATACAAGGAGGGACATTGCTGTCTTGTCGTCCATCTCCTCCACCTTGTCAACCTCATCCTTCCACCGGGTGAGGAAATTTCGTCAGATCCTCGTGCTCTCGCTGCCTGGCTGTACTCAAGTAGGTAAACTTTTTCCTCTTGGTACAGTTTTCTTTGAACTTTTCTTGAAACACCTCAGCCAGTTCATCGAAAGAATCGATTTCATCGGCCGGTAAGTTATGAAACCACTCGGCGGCGCGGCCGCGGAGGGTCTGAAAGAAAAGCAAACATTTCTCATCCCCGGAAAGACCCATCATCCGCCCACTTTGATGGAGGGTTTTGACGTGAATTTCCGGGTCCTCCTTCCCGGTGAACTTCAGGACTTCAAGTTTCGCCTTCTTTGGAAATGGGGTTTCATGAACCCGGTCTGTGAACGAAGATTCGTTCAGCAGAATCTTCTTCTTTTCTTCTCGGTCTACCCGGCATTGTAGTTTCTCCAGACGTGCCTCGACCCGGCCCACACGATCCCGAGGTTGTTCAACATGAGAACGGGTCGTGTGCCTGGGGTGGCTTTCGGCTTCTTCCTCTCGCGGCGCCCGGCTGTGCTGGGGCTCATCGCGTGGGGATGGTTCCGTTCGCCTGGTCTGACCAGGTCGTCCGGCTCCTCTCCCTGCACGATTAAAGGCACTAGCTGGGATGGTTTCTACCCCAAGCCGCTCTTTTGCTGACCGGTTCTGATTTCGGCCATCATGGCCAAGTCTCTGAAAGGCCGACCTCCTAGATCCTTCTGGCTGAACTGCCTTTCCCTTCAACTTTTTGACCGCCTAGGGGACGTCCCAATCCTCATCTTTGCTGTGCACTGAACGCACATCCCCGTCCGAGGTCACCTTTGTCTGTGACCTACGGGACCGGCTCCTTCTAGACCGGGATAGACCAGCTTTATCCATCTCCTCGATCAGGTTTGTCGGAACGATCGGGCGAATGACGTTAGTTTGAGGCGAGGATTGTGGATACAATCCCGGATTGAAAAGTGAAAACCCTCCCGGTTGCTGGAACATGGACATGAAATGTCCAAAATTCTGAAGAGCCTGGCTGTACATTGGATCAAGGGGTCCGGGGAAATTTGAAGGAAAAACGGGAACAGGGTTCACGGGGGAAGTGAATGGGATAGGTGGTGGAATGGTGATGATGGGGGTAGGAACCTGGCTTAACGGTTGGGAACTTCCTCCCGGGAATGAAGTGACGTTCTCAGCAGGAGTATAAATTTGTGAGATCACGGTTTCCTGATTACTGGCCATGACTTTTTTGTAATAGGTCCCACGGGTGGCGCCAATTTGATGGTGTAAATTACCACACAAATACTAAGTGTGAGTAATCGGAAGGGTTGTAGGTGGAAACACATGTAACCCGATTTGTTATTAATGATAATAGGAGTTATTACAAATACAAGCCGTGTCGGTTTATTAAAGCATGCCTCACAAATGAGGCTTTTAGGGGTATTTATAATAATCCTAAGCACGTCAAGCACGTCTCTGATTATCCAACCGGTCAGGCGGCTGACCGGCCCACCAGGTGCACTTTGAAAGTAGATCTTCGGGTATTGGCGTCTGGTCTCCCCATCCAACCGGTCAAATAACCCGGGCTGAAAAAGACGCGTGCTGTTCGGTGAACCAACCAGGTGGTATCCTTGGGTTATTACCCATCACCATCAGTGAAAGAAAGTGGTAAGTTGGAGTACTTTTCTGAAAGAAAAAAAAATTGGTATACCAAAGTAAAATAAACGTCAAAGTTGGTGTATCATACGTGAAATTTACCCCCATAACTCGTGTAACCCGAACCAAGGAGTTAACGAATCGGGTTGCTACTAAATTGGTAATCACAACACAACAATTTAGACAGTTTATTCAAAAATATTCAAACACCAAATTAAATACGAAAAGTCTGACGTGAAGTTCATCATGTGCGGAAGCATTAAAACAACATTCTACAAACAATGTTTAATTCAAATCATTAATAATGCAATAATTAAATGTCCATAATTAAAAATAGTGACGTTATCCGTTGCGTCACGTATCAACGTCCTCCGGGCTGACCCTCACGATCCATATCCCTACCTGCGTGCAATCAAGATAACAAGACTACACGCTCATCTGAAAGCTGAGTGAGAAAAATATCTAACGCTGGAAATAATTTCCCAGATAGTATCCCATTTATAGAATCAACAACATCAGTGAACAATCAACATTTATTTTCAGGTACAAGGATCCAACAGTTCCAATTCATTTATTTTCAAAGGCTATTTCTGCCCCTACAACACTAAGGCTAAATTCAACAGACTAGAGTTACGGACACTCGAGCGGATCCCTCGAGGCCGATGCTCGGACAAACCCAAAGAGAATCCTCAATGGGCGGGTTGGAGTCTCTACCAAGGAATCCCTTAGGTAGAACAGCGACTCCCGTACATACGTTTTGAACCCTGGACCACTAGATATGCAAACATGCTCCACAAGACTTGAAACCTAACAACAGTCCTATTGGTGATTAAACTATCCAATTCAGTTCAGATCCGCCTAGGTATACTAGGTGGCCAATTTTCAACAGAGTTCTCAAGTGATAACAATCACTTAAACATTTCCATAAACAGAACAACACACTCAGCGGCCTATCGGAAGAATCACTTCTCACCGATTACCGTCATGCTCAAACAAAAAGATTTAACCCAACAATATTAAAATAACTTACCTGTGTCGCGAACTCGGGACTAAGAATTTATCCTCAGGCCTGCTGCACCTGTCGGAACAGTATCAATTTCCACCGGATCAACCCGACAACCCGCCGAACCGACCTGACAAAACGACCCGCTGCCCCAATTGGGCAGCCCCTCACTGCCGCGGGTTTGTCGGGCCAGTTGGCCGGGCTTGTCGGCCGGGCCCGTTGGGACGGTTGGCCGGGCTATCGGGTTCGTGTGGGCAAAACAATTTGTGTGGGATGCGATAGAGGCACCGTGGAGGTGAATGCCATATTGAGACAGAGGGAGACCGTGTCTAAGAGAGGTCCGGATAAGACTACGACTAACCCGACCCACGGGACACACTAGGCGATCCACATCAGGCTACTATGTATTCCTTGGGGACAACCTCATCTCTTGGTCCTCCAAACGCCAGGCTACCATTTCCCGATCTAGTGCTGAAGCTGAATACCGAGCCGTTGCGAATGCTGTTGCCGAAACCAGCTGGATTCGAAATCTCCTCCTAGAGGTACAACAGCCCCTACGCCGTGCCACAGTCATCTTCTGCGACAACGTCAGTGCCGTTTACCTCTCCACCAATCCGGTTCAGCATCAGCGCACTAAGCATATTGAAGTTGACATTCACTTTGTTCGTGACAAGGTGGCCCTCGGCCAGATTAGAGTCCTTCATGTGCCATCCTCGTCACAATACGCCAACATATTCACAAAAGGCCTCCCGTCCATATTATTTCAAGATTTTCGGACTAGCCTCGAGATTCGCCCACCTCTGACGCCGACGTAGCCGGGAGCATGTTAAATATATTTTATATTTATGTTAAATATATATTCTATATTGATTGTACAAATATTGTTTCCTATTGTAGAATCCTACCATGATTAGGATTAGGAAAAGGTTGTATATATAAACTCATGTACTCCCACTTTATCATTCAAAGAAAATCATAATTCTTCACGTTTGTCCAAAGGGTCGTGCAACAAACCCAATTGACCCAATTCCGATCCAATTGGACCCAATTGAACAAGAACCAACCCATTTGGACCCGAATTGACCCAATTGAATCCAAATCGGACCAATTGGGTCCAAATTGGACCCACCGGAATTGTCCCGTGCGTCGGCCGCAACCACCGCCGTCCAGCCGCCGACGGGTCGCCGGAAAACAGTCCCCGATTAACCCCAAATCAGTCCCCAACAATTTCAACACACAAACAACACAAATTTCACAATCAAATGCAAAATTAATACAAATAAGAACGTAATCTACGAATTAACGCTAACGATAGGTATTTGGGCAACGATTCACACCTCGAAATTGGAAGAAACTTGAACCGGAGGTAGAAGGGGAAACCGTCGCTGCTCTCGTCGCGGCTCGCGCGTACGCCGGCGGGATAGGGGAAGGAGAGTTCGTCGCCGGTGCTGGTTCCCTGGGACGGCGTCGACGGTGGCTGTGCTGGAAGCTGACGCCGGACGGAGCGGAGGGCAACGACGGAACCGGCAGCGAAACGAACGGGAAAGGAGAACGCGTAGAGTAAGAGAGAAAGTCGTAACCCCCTAGTATTTCATACATCCCCTCCCACAAAAAATTCTAATTTTAATGTAGTTTTGGTCAAACAGTTATATGCTTTAACCATAAATTGAATATAATCTAAATAAATAAATTCTAAAAAAATTTGAAATATCAAAACTAGATAATAAGATAAATCCAATTATATTAAATTTATTTTATAATTCATTATACCTTTTTCATAATTTGTAGTCAAAGCGTGTAAATATTTGACTAAATAGTATTCAAAATGGGAACTTTTTTGTGGGACGGAGGAGTATAAAATTACATATATATTTAGGGTCCAGTTTATACTTTCTAGCCAGTTAGGATAAATTTAAACTCAATTACTTTGTTCGTCAGTCATATCTTGGGCCCATTAAGTCCGATTCACGATCCGTTTACGCGGTCGGGATCAGAACACCGAGCCCTACAACGCAGGTCAACTCTCATATTTTTTTTTTGAAAAGGGTCAACACTCATATTAAATACATAAATTAAAAAATAACTCTTCGTATTAACCGACTTAGTAATTAATTAATTATATAAATTAATTAAAATTACTAAGCTGATTTCGAGGCGTTACACTTGCTTATGTTAGGCATACACCTTCTTCAATTGTCCCCCACATTATTAATAATTAAAAATAGAGTAAATTCCATAATTGGTCCTTTATAACAGGGGGGTTTCCATATTTAGTCCTCTATTATCAAATATTACCCTCGTAGTCCTTTTTTTAAGGGTGCCTTTCCACAAATGGTCCTTTTTTTGATCGTCTGCCATGTTGGTATTAATTTAAAGGCTAAAAGTATAATTTGACATCAACATTATGTCTAGTGACGTGTTCTGATATTAGTTAAGCGGATAACACAAAAATAATGACTATGATTGTGAGCTAGGATTCCGACGAAAGACCACATTTGTAGTCTATGGTTGTAGTAGAAAGCGAATGTAATTCACAAACGATGGAAACAGAACAGTCTTTGGAATTGTGTATGACAAAAAAGATATATTATCATTGTAAAATTACACTTTTAGCCTTCAAATTAACACCAACATGATAGAAGATCAAAAAAGGATTATTTGTGGAAAGATACCCATAAAAAAAGGACCACAAGGGTAATATTTGATAATAGAGGACTAAATAGGGAAACCCCCCTGTTTTAAAGGACCAATTATGGAATTTACTCTTAAAAATATGTGCATTTATGTATTTGATAGGTTTTGCAACGAATCTCACAAGGGATGTAATGCTACAATACACTTCCTTGTGATTCAAAATAAAAGACCTTGCATCAATGACATAGGTTGATGGGTTTTAGAATCCGGAATCTAGGAGACTAGGTAGGAGAGTATCAAACAAGGGCTACGTACCTTTTTCGATCGAAAGAGTATAGAGTGAGTCTATTTTCTTATGAGTGAATATGAACATGTCCTCTCCTCCCCAAGAGGGAGGGGTATTTATACAATACTATACATTTGTCTTATACTCGTGTTTCCTAGCCATTGTCCAAGACAAGACTTAGTGGGGCGGGTCCACTAGAATTTTATCTTTGACTAATAATACAAGAGATGTAATGACTGTTGGACAATGTGCTATCATGAATATATAGATTTGCAATGTCCTTTGCCCATGGTCTTTTAGGTTTTGATAATGACAAAAGGCTGACAAAACATCATCATCATATTGTGCATCAAGGCTAAGAATCAAAGCTACAACAAGTTCATATCCGTCCGTGAAGAAGGGACTTGAGCATCGGTGGAAGGAACGAGACCGAAGAGGTTGTTTCCTTAGTTGGGTGGTGTTTTAGGTCTTAGATTATGTGTTAAAGAGTATGGAATCTCTAAGGTTCATTCCCTTATCATCCCACCGTTAAAACACATTTTTTTCATCAAACTATTCGACTATATTGAAAACTATTCGAATAAATCCCTGAAATTCTATTCTGACTTAGTTGAATAAATCCAGAACTAGTTGAATAAGTCAGATTGCAGTTTCCCCAACACTAGTCGACTAAGTCTTGATTTAGTCGAATAGTTCGACAGTTTCAACTACTAAACGGCTAGTTTTTTGAATGCTTTTCATCCCTATCCACTCCCTAACTTCTATAATCTTTCGTGATTATCTTTATAAGAACACTTAGAACACTTTGAAGAACATATCCTTTGAATATCCAAAGAGATTCTACTCAATCCCCTTCTTATATCCAAGCAAGGCAATTGTTTTGATTGCTAAATCATTTCCTGCTTGAGTTTTTCCTCATTGCTTGAGTCTTTGAGAGATATTGCCATATTCTAAAGGACATAATTGTATTTGCAACAATCTACTCCGTGCTGGGAGAATTACTCGGTTGCGGTTTGTTTTCTTACTTTATTGTAAGGTATTTGTATTCTTGGTGTTGGGATTACACCAAGTGGTAGAAATCCTAACAGTTTGTGAAATCAAACGTTAGGTGGAAGAAATCCCGAGTTTTGTGAAATCAAAACTTCGGTGGTAAGATAAGAGGCTTGTGAAATCAAGTTCTCGAGTTGTATTCGGATTGTCAAACTCCGTGAAGTTTGACGGGTTAGTGAAGGCCTGGGCACGATTGCTTCGGGGACTGGATGTAGGCATTTAGGCCGAACCAGTATACATCGTGTGTTGTTCCTTCTCTTCTTCTTTGTCTTCTTGTGGTTGGCATAATCCTGTGAATTTTTTGTTTAATCTTCCAAAAGTTTTAATTTTTGAAGAACACCTCTATTCACCCGCCCTCTAGAGGTGCGTAAGTTGTTCAACAATTGGTATCAGAGCAAGGGATTTTCAAAGCTTTACCGCTGAAAATTTAAAAAGATCATGGCCGGAAGAACATTTCAACCTGGAGTTGCCGAAGGACAATCCACGACAAGGCCACCACTCTTCGACGGCACAAATTATGCTTATTGGAAAGAGAGGATGAGAATATTCATCCAATCAAATGATTATGATTCTTGGTTGGTGATCAAGCATGGAGAGACGGTTCCCACGAAGATTGTTGACGGGGTTCTTGTTCCAAAGTTTGAAACCGAATATACCTCAAATGACAAAAAGAAGATGCAACTAAATGCAAAGGCCATCAACTTTCTATATTGTGCCGTGAACCCGGATGACTATCGGAAAATTTCAAGGTGCAAGACGGCCAATGAGATGTGGAAAAAATTAGAGGTCACATATGAAGGAACAAGTCAAGTGAAGGATTCAAAGATCGACTTACTCACCCATGAGTATGAGCTTTTCATGATGATGGAAAATGAAACAATAGATGGCATGTTCGAGAGATTTTCAACTATTGTCTCAAATTTGGATACACTTGGGAAGCATTATGAGGATCATGTTCTCGTTCGAAAAATCCTTCGAAGTCTCACACCGGAATGGAAGTCTACGGTCAATCCTATCAAAGAAGGCCGAGATTACAATACATTGACATATGACGCACTTCGAGGTAAACTACTCACTTATGAAATGTCCAACTTTTCTAGTGCAGCGGAGATCAAAAGGGATCAAAATCCATCATTCAAAGGAGTTGCACTCAAAGCTTTATCGTCAAAATATGTCGAGACAAGCGGCTCTATAGAAAGTGACATTCTCGAGTTATTTAATGACTTCTTGCAAAATGAGCTTGAGCAATTGAATGAGAGTACAAAGCCTACTTGCTATGGATGTGGAGAGCGTGGACATATCAAGGGTCATTGCCCTAATCGAAAATTCAAGAAGTCCAAATGCCGAAAGCAATCAAACTCTAGCTCCTCTTCCTCATCCGATGATGAAGTAGCCATTTGTCTTATGGCTCAAAGTGAATCCGAAGAGGTAAGTTTTTCTAACGATCCTTTTAGTTTTGAAGAACTACAAGAAGCATTTGGTGATTTATTTAATGAATTTAAAAAAGTCTCATCTATTGCCAAAGATTTGGAATATGAAATCACCCTTTTGCAAAAGAAAAATAATATTTTGCAAAAAGAAATTGATTCCCTCAAAATTGAAAATAAGACTTTTGAGGAGACTAATTTGAAAATAAATGATTCACCTTGTTCTTCATGTAAGTATTCTAGTCTTGGGATAGAAGCGCTTAAGAAAGAGGTAGACGATTTGAAATTAGCGATGAAGAAAGTTGAAAATGAATTTAGACTAAAATCTACCTCTAGGATTAAATACTATAGATCACCTAGAAATAAAGATTCAGTAAGATCCTTAAGATTCAAACTATCTGTTGGATCTTTCGTGTAGTGTGCAGGATCTTTGTACTTGTTGGGATCACAATCCACAGTAATAACATTATTTCATCCTGTGTAGTGTGGTCTTTGTTACACTAAGTATAGGCACTTGCTTCTAAGTCAAGATAATGTGATGCATCGTTCATATGATTTTTATTATTTCCATAACACCCCTGGACCCAAAAGGAATTGGGTACCAAGATTTCCTTCGTAGATTCATTAAGGAAGGTGTGCTTGAACACTTCGACTTGAGTTGAAGTAGATGCGCCAAGCCCATATAATTGGGTGAAGCATCAATTAAGGGGGAAGTTGATTCACTTTATTAATTCCAACTAATGTTAATTTATATTTTAGTTGAACAATGTGATATTATTTGTTTGTTTGATATCTATTTGCATGAGCATATATCTTTTTGCCCATCTCTTTTTGATAATGTCAAAAGGGGGAAGATGGTGTAGATATGCATATATTCAGGGGGAATTGTATTTGTGCATATCTTAATGGGGAAGATAGTATAGATTTGTATGTCTTTGTTTGATTTATGATGCAATACTTGAGGGGGAACTAGCCTTGTATGATGCATATCTCCTAATGGGTTTGTCATTATCAAAAAGGGGGAAATTGTTGGACAATGTGCTATCATGAATATATAGATTTGCAATGTCCTTTGCCCATTGTCTTTTAGGTTTTGATAATGACAAAAGGGTGACAAAACATCATCATCATCATATTGTGCATCAAGGCTAAGAATCAAAGCTACAACAAGTTCATATCCATCCGTGAAGAAGGGACTTGAGCATCGGTGGAAGGAACGAGACCGAAGAGGTTGTTTCCTTAGTTGGGTGGTGTTTTAGGTCTTAGATTATGTGTTAAAGAGTATGGCATCTCTAAGGTTCATTCCCTTATCATCCTACCGTTAAAACACATTTTTTTCAGCAAACTATTCGACTATATTGAAAACTATTCGAATAAATCCCTGAAATTCTATTCTGACTTAGTTGAATAAATCCAGAACTAGTTGAATAAGTCAGATTGCAGTTTCCCCAAAACTAGTCGACTAAGTCTTGATTTAGTCGAATAGTTCGACAGTTTCAACTACCAAACAACTAGTTTTTTGAATGCTTTTCATCCCTATCCACTCCCTAACTTCTATAATCTTTCGTGATTATCTTTATAAGAACACTTAGAACACTTTGAAGAACATATCCTTTGAATATCCAAAGAGATTCTACTCAATCCCCTTCTTATATCCAAGCAAGGCAATTGTTTTGATTGCTAAATCATTTCTTGCTTGAGTTTTTCCTCATTGCTTGAGTCTTTGAGAGATATTGCCATATTCTAAAGGACATAATTGTATTTGCAACAATCTACTCCGTGCTGGGAGAATTACTCGGTTGCGGTTTGTTTTCTTACTTTATTGTAAGGGATTTATATTCTTGGTGTTGGGATTACACCAAGTGGTAGAAATCCTAACAGTTTGTGAAATCAAACGTTAGGTGGAAGAAATCCTGAGTTTTGTGAAATCAAAACTTCGGTGGTAAGACAAGAGGCTTGTGAAATCAAGTTCTCGAGTTGTATTCGGATTGTCAAACTCCGTGAAGTTTGACGGGTTAGTGAAGGTCTGAGCACGATTGCTTCGGGGACTGGATGTAGGCATTTAGGCCGAACCAATATACATCGTGTGTTGTTCCTTCTCTTCTTCTTTGTCTTCTTGTGGTTGGCATAATTCTGCGAATTTTTTGGTTAGTCTTCCAAAAGTTTTGATTTTTGAAGAACACCTCTATTCACCCCCCCCTCTAGAGGTGCGTAAGTTGTTCAACAATGACAAATGGTATGGCTACAAATAATGTACAGAAAAATAGTATTAGAGACGCTTTGGTGTGGGCCCGTTGAGTAGATAGGGCGTATAGGATCCCATGCCCATGATAGGCCTACATTGCTTTATTGGTCCGGGCTGAGTGGAGGCGTGTGTCCGGTTGCGGTTGGCACATTGAGGCCTTATTTCCTTTTAAGTCTCGCTCAGCCAAGTGATGTTAGAAAAATGTCCCAACGCTAGAGGGGGGGTGAATAGCGTTTGAAACGAAAATGACGCAGGAATAAAAATTAAAAGCGTAAAGTAAAGAGCAAGGAAGAGGCACACCGTTTTTACCCTGATTCACCACAATGTGTGGCTAGTCCAGCCTCCCGAGAGACTCTCTCGAGCTACACTACTTCTGTTAAGCTTACGGGTGCTTAACAAACCGTTACAATGCGAGAACTCGAGTCCCACGAGCCTTAATACACTTGCTCGGAGATACCGCATTCGAAGACTTCAACCCGAAGAAATATGCCCTTCCTTCATACAACCAAGGGAACAAACCTCCCTTAAAGTGTTCAAAACACTTAACCACTCAATAACAAAAACTCTCTTAAAGAGTAGAATATGAGTAAACTAATTTAGATTAAGAACACACTCAATTCCTCAAGAAATGGCTCTAAAAAGCTATGTAAAACGTTTATGCAATGACACAATGTAAAGCTATGAGATGTGTGAGGAATGGTTGTGAAAAGTAGACCCAAGAGACCCCTTTTTATACCAAAAAACAAGGTGCAACGGTTGGGAGAAGATTGGGGTTGATTGGCTTGATTTGTGGAAATCAAATAAAAGTGGATCTACTGAAATCTGGCCTGACAGTGCTGTTCATATAGTGAACATTGCTATTTTGGCTTTGACTTTCCTTTAAAAATGGCGAGCGGTCATCAAAACGTCGATGTCTAGAAGTCTATATCGATGTTGGGGTGTTTGACTTTCAAAAACATAAAGATTTTGTCTTAAATAGCCCAATGGTCATCTGAAAACATCGCTGTTCAACAATGAACATCGCTGTTCAAAAACATACTGCCCACTACTTCTGAATGCCTACATCGCTGTAGCGAATTCCTACATGCATGTTGGGCTGGTTAGCCAGAACCATGGTTTGGCAGCCAACGCCGAAAACTGATGTCAAAAACCAAAGTTCTCCAAAGTGAAAACCAAGTGTTTGAAACTCTTATATAATGTATTTTAGGTAGAAACCAAGTATAAAAAATTAAAAACCACTTCATTAAGGTAAAAACCACGGCTAGCCAAGTTTATGCCGTTTCAGATGTTTTTCTCCAAAAGACCAAAAACAAAAGGTGGTTTTTGACAGGTTTTTGTTGGAGAACTATTTGGATATGAACAGAAGTAAAAACCAATCATAAAATATTAAAAACCACTTAATTGATTTGGATGCCAAAAATCAGCGCCGAATGCCTACAACCAACGCCGGAAAACAAAGGTTCGGGTTTTTGAAATCTAATTATTTGGAAAACTTTGAAATGTGTCCTGAAGGAAAAACCAAAGATAAGAACCCAAAAACCATTTGGCTAAAATCAATGCCAATAACCAATGCCGAAAACCGAACGCCGATAACTGATGGTTATGGTTTTAGTTGGGCAAGAACAAGGGATTTTAGAAACTTAAAACCATTTATGAAAACACTCATTTAATTCATGAAAAACATATTTTGTTTTGAGAAATGACTTAGAGAAATTGAATGAACTTGTTACAATAAAAACCTAAGTATTTAGACAACGTCTTCAAAACACCATTGTCGTTGTCTTTAGAAACATCAATGCCTTTCTTGTGCTTTTTGTTCATTCAAAGAGCTTTTGCTATGAATTTGAATCTTTTCATTTTGTCCCAAGTTCCCAAGGGTTTGTCAATATCAAAACCTAAACAGAAACAAGCATTGCCATTAACAAAACATCAATGTGAAAATGCTTTCTAACAATTTCTCCCTTTTTGATAATGAAAAACCAAGGCGCGGATATGCAGGCCAAGTTGGGTTTTCAAAGAAAGAATAATGGTAATTCCCCCTACGTCTTTGAAAACAAGATCCCCCCTCACTTGTTGCATACACCTAAACACTGAAATTCCAGCACTCACAAGCAAACAACCACAACAGCAAACAAACAATGGCAAAACAGTTATTGAAGGAAGTGTTGCAGCTTTAGAATATGCAGGATGCTATAACACCTTCTTCAACAGTCACACACACAAACAGAATAATAAACACACCAAGACACAAAGATTTGTTTACGCAGTTCGGAGCAGTATCACCTACATCTGCGAGGCCCACATCCGTGTAATAGCCTTTCCACTAGATCAACGTAAGGATTACACTATCAAACTTCAATAGAACCTTCTAATGAATATGATCTGTCTACTTACGAGATCTGACAGCAAACTAGGTTTGTGTCTTCACCAGGCCTATTACACCTTCTTCTTGCTCTGCACGAAGGATGTGTTTCTGACCTTTGCTCAGCCCACCAGGTTGCAACAGCTGAACAATATCTAGAGAAGATCCATGACTGATCTTCTCATGCACTTCTCACACAGGTTTCTATTCTGATCGGAATTGTGGTGTTCTCCCGCTCTCTCCTTGGATATTCTGAGTGTATTTCCGCATGCCTCTTTCTTGACGGCTGACTTCCTTTTATAGGGTGTTCATAACCCTAGTGGAGATGATACGAAACTCTTCAGGTGATAAGCTTGAACACCAGACACTCCTAGCAAGTCAGGACTTCTTCCGCAGATTTGCATTGCTCCACGTGTCCAGGAATTAACCAAGTCTTGAAGTAGTTCCCCGTAGCCAATCTTGAAGGATGTGTTGCTCTTCACGCTGGTCACCTCATGAAACCTTCTTTATATAGAACACTCGATATACGCAGAGTCCATATTGTATAGAAACTCTACACCATGACTGATAGGATGCTACAGCCCTTATCGTAACATAGACACACTACCAGTTCTACAGAAGGGTTTTGTCAAAAAATAATGCCAACATAAACTATATATCAATGTTAACTAGTTGGAGCTAACAATCTCCCCCTTTGGCAATTTTTTGACAAAAAAATTCTATTCAGCCGTTTTTGAACCTCTTCTCCCCCTTTTTTGCATAAAAAATGCCAAAGATATTGTATTGAAAATCACCAAACTTGGGGGCAAAAAGTGAAGAGTAATATTCAATACGGTCAAGAATAGGTACATTAAGAGTATAGGAAAGAAAATTCTAAAGAGCTGTACCTTCATCAGTCATGCCAGAAAGAGCCAAGTACCCATGAGAAGGGGTAGGCTCGTGTGCTGTCGTTGCTTCACAATGTATGCAGGTAAAAGGAGAGCCAAAATAAGTCATAACCAGAGCTTATAAACCATCTTGTCACAGAACACAGATAAGTCTTTAAGAAAAACCATGTAATGTCTTCAGCATCATAAAAATAGGGCAGAACAACCCTTTCACAAAAAATGTTTTTAGAGCAAAAGTATTGTCAATAAGGCAATGTTTACTCCTTTGAACTGGCATTTTCTGATGATTCTTGAGAGGCCCCTGCAGAGTCTGATGAAGAGATCTCTTCTGCACTGTCTTCTTGATCATCGTCATCTGTGTTTGAGTGTGCAGCAGCATTCTTGCGTTTAGCTAGTTTCTCCCCCTTACTCTGTGCATGCCTTGTTTGCCTCATGGTGTGTGCAATCTGAATGAGCACATTCATCCTTTCAGTGGATCTTTGAGCAATTTCATGATGATAGTCTGCATCCATTTGGAGGGATTTGATCTCCTTATCAAGAAAACTGAGCTGGTTGTCTACTGAGGCTGGATTTGGTATTGCTGCAGGGGATGCTCCAGCTGTAACCATGTCATTTAAATGCTTGCCTTCAAAGTGTCTGTTATCTGCTTGCAGCAAAGGTGGAACCTGTTCTTCTTCTTCACAGTCTTCTTTAGTGAATCCCTGACTTTTCAGGATATTGTAAATCAGCAGGGGATATGGGAGGCCATTTTGATTTGTCTTGAATTTTGTAGCTGCAAAGGTCATGACCTGATCAAACACTAATTTACCCAAGTCAAAAGGTTTACAGTGCTTAATCCTGTAGATGAGGGTTGCCATACAGAGAGGCACTGTGTTTGTGTGGGTAGTTGGAAGCCAGTGATAAGAAGCTATTTTGAGAAGGAGGGCATAAGAACTCTTGAGTACTGAGGAAGGAACTTTTAATTTTCCATGTTGTGAGTTTCTCACACCGTTTGTAAGATCATGCCATATGGTGTCTTCATCAATGGGGGAAACCACAGAACAAGAGGTTGTGCCTAGAAGTGTGTTGATGACAGTTGGAGAAAAATTATAGAATTTTCCTCTGACAAAGACTTTGTGAAATGAGGGGTCATCATCGGTCATACAAGCATCAGATAAGTTGCAGAAAAATTCTTGAATCACTTTCTTGACATAAGATCCAGGCAAGGTGACATATTTGAACAAGTTGTTGGACTCAAGAACAGGCAGGAGGTTGGTTTTCTTTTTAAAATCACTTATATCCAAGTTCCTTTGAGGAATGATAAATTTCTTTGCAATATCAGTGAAATGAGATCTAGCAGAAATTGAGATGAAATTGTGCAAAGATGACTTTCCTGAGAGTGTAGCAGGTTCAGCAACCTTTGATGTAGAGGAGCTTCTTGTCTTTCTTGCTCCGCTTGTCTGTGCTTCTCCAGATGGTTTGGCCTTCTTGGTAGGCGTAGTAGCAGCATCCTGTCCTTTCCTTTTCTTTGCCTTTGTAGTGGACACATTCTTCTGTTCCTTCCTTTCTTCTTCAGACTTGTCATCAGGAACTGGTGAGTCTTTCATTTTCCGCAGTGACCATCGGCTTGGACCAGATAGGTTTTTCTTCCTCTCTTTTCTTCCTTTGCATTTTGAATCTGGATCTTGAAATGGAACGTTTGAACATGCAATTAGGGGTTCTTCTTCAAGTATTTCACCCACAGACTCAGGCTCAGGCACCCCCTTTAGTGATTCTTCATCTTCCATAGACATCCCCCTTTTTTATTCTTGGCTAGGGTTCTGAGAACTCTCGTTGTCTGGTAGGGTTGATGGGATGTATTTCAAGAGAGGAACCTCTGTTGACTGAAGAATGGGGTTCTTCAGCACATCCTCTTCAGTAGGGAGTTCATCGGGTGCATGTTCCCTTTCTTCGTTGATGGGTGTATGAGTGCTTGATGATGTGCTAGGCATGGCGAAAAGCTTTGTCCAGGAGGGCTTTTTGAACATCTTCTTCTTCTTCTTTGGTGGACTTTTTCCGGTCCATCTCTGAGGTAGAGCAATCTTCGTTCTCACCATGTGTATCTGCTTGGGAGAGGAAGATGGATGATTCAATTTTAAATTTCTGGACAATTCTAAGGCGGAGTGAAAGCTTTTGGAGTTTATTTGATCTGAGACGCAGCCTTTTGAGATCTTGCAGTGCCTCTTCATTTCTTGAGTTAATTTTAGACGCCACTCTTGTGCTCCGTGTCCATGCAGTGCATGCCCCCTTTTTGTGCCATATGTCATATTTTCAGCGGATAAGAAAGTTGAACACATTAGCTGACAATTTGTGTTCAAAGAAAAATATGTGACATATTAATAAGGTGCACACAGACCCAATTTGGATCTGAGTGTTTCAAATCTGCTTCCATCCAATGCCTTTGTGAAAATATCAGCCAGTTGCTCTTCTGTATCAACATGCTCCAGACTAACAATTTTTCCTTCCACTAATTCTCGTATAAAATGATGCTTAATGTCAATGTGCTTTGTTCGAGAATGTAGCACAGGATTTTTTGACATACTGATTGCACTTGTGTTGTCACAATACAATGGTATTGTCTTCTGTTGGATTCCATAGTCTGATAACACTGACTTCATCCATAACACTTGTGCACAACAACTTCCAGCTGCTATATATTCAGCTTCTGCTGTAGATAATGACACTGAGTTTTGTTTCTTACTTAGCCATGCAACCAAATTTCCTCCGAGAAAGAAACAACCCCCAGATGTACTTTTCCGATCATCTATATTTCCTGCCCAGTCTGCATCACTAAATGCTGCTAATTGTGCTGGACCACCCTTCTCGTACCATAATCCCAAGTTTTGTGTGCCTTTGACATATTTTAGTATTCTTTTGACAGCCTTGAGATGTGACTCCTTTGGACTTGCTTGGTATCTGGCACATACTCCCACACTATAACAGATGTCTGGTCTGCTGGCAGTAAGATATAGCAGGCTTCCAATGATGCTTCTGTAATGAGTCTCGTTTACTGATTTTCCACAATCATCTCTGCTGATTTTTTCATGTGTTGGACAAGGTGTTCTAGCACTTTTACAGTCACTCATATCAAACTTCTTCAGCATGTTCTGTATGTACTTAGCTTGTGAGATAAAGATGCCTTTCTCTGTTTGCTTTACTTGCAACCCCAAGAAGAAGGTTAGTTCTCCAATCATGCTCATCTCAAACTCCATCTCCATTGTTTTGACAAACTTATCAACATGCTGCTTTGAGGTGGATCCAAAAATGATATCATCAACATATATCTGAGCAATGAGGATGTCTGATCCGTACCTTTTATAGAACATAGTGCTGTCTGCTCCACCCCTTTCGTATCCTTCCTTGAGAAGATAAGTGGTCAGCCTCTCATACCATGCACGTGGAGCTTGTTTCAACCCGTAGAGTGCTTTCCTCAGTCTATAAACATGATCTGGATGTTTTGGATCTTCGAACCCTTTTGGCTGTGTGACATAGACTTCTTCTTTAAGATAGCCATTCAAAAATTCAGTCTTCACATCCATCTGATAGAGTTTCATGTCAAGGATGCATGCCATACTGATTAACATGCGAATGGATTCTAGTCTTGCAACTGGAGCAAATGTTTCTTCAAAATCGATTCCCTCAATTTGTGTATAACCCTGAGCTACCAGCCTTGCTTTATTTCTGACTACTTTCCCATCTTCATCTGTTTTGTTTCGAAAAATCCATTTTGTCCCAATAACATTAACACCTTCTGGTTTTGGAACTAGCTCCCATACATTGTTGCGTTTGAACTGTCCCAGCTCTTCTTGCATAGCATCTATCCATGGTTCTTCTTTAAGAGCTTCTTTTATGTTCTTTGGCTCAACTGAAGAGGTGTAGAAAGCATTTATCATTTGGACAAATTCTATCTTCTTTTTCCGAGTCAGAATGCCTTCTCTTGGATTCCCTATGATATTTTCCGGTGGATGATTTTTGTGCACATGTGTGGGTATTCCTGTTGACTTCTCTGGTGTTGTTGCTGACTCTGAAACTGTAGGTTGATCCTCCTCATTGTTTGTTTGTTCTTCAGATTCTGTCTCTTCTTGTTCTGAAGCAGTCTCAGTTTGTGTTTCAGTGATTTCAGTGTCATCACTGCACCTTCTTGGTATTTGATCATCTACCACCACGTTTATTGATTCAATTATATTCCTGGTTCTTTTGAGCAATACTCTGTACGCCTTGCTGTTTGGTGAGTAGCCTACGAATATTGCTTCTTCACTCTTGGCCTCGAACTTTCCTTTCTGTTGTCTGTCTCGTAAGACATAACACCTTGCTCCAAAAATGTGGAAGTGTGCAAGGTTTGGAGTTCTTCCTTTCCACAACTCATATGGTGTAGCCTTTGTGCCACTCCTGATGTATACCCTGTTTATTGTATAGCAGGCTATATGTACTGCCTCAGCCCATAGATTCTGAGCTAAGTTTTGGGTGTTTATCATTGTGCGGGCCATCGCTTGTACATGTCTGTTCTTTCTCTCAGCAATTCCATTCTGTTGTGGAGTTTTTGGAGCAGAAAACTCATGCTGAACTCCTTCCTTGTTGCAGTAATCACTAAAAGGCTGACTTTCAAATTCCCCACTATGGTCACTCCTAACACGAATGACTTTTTTAATCTTGAGCTGTTTCTCATTCTGCACTTTGTTGCACAGTATGACAAAGGCTTCTAGTGCATCATCTTTGTGTCTTAAGAAGCTTACCCAGGAATATCTTGTGTAATCATCCACCACTATGAGCACAAATCTTTTCCCTCCGATGCTTTCTATTTTCATTGGCCCAAAGAGATCAATATGTATTAACTCCAATGGTCTTATGGTAGATTGATATACCTTCTTAGGATGGCTTGCTCGTGTTTGCTTCCCTTTCTGACATGGACCACATACTTCACCTTCCAGTCTCTTTATTTTAGGCAATCCTCGAACTGCATCAGAGTTTGAGAGGGTTGTGAGATCTTTAAAATTTAGATGACCAAGCCTGTAGTGCCATAGCCTTGCATCCTGTTTGCTTGCAGGAAAACACAGAACATTTGGAGTGACTTTGTAACAGTTGTCAGTTGTTCTGTCACCTTCTAATACCACCAGTTTGTTTTTGTCTTTCACGCGACACTTTTGCTGAGTAAATGTGACCTCCAGCCCTTGGTCACACATCTGGCTGATGCTCAGTAGATTTACCTGAAGTCCTTGTACAAGCCATACATTCTTGATTGGTGGAAGTCCTGAAACATTTAGTATTCCACACCCAATGATTTTGCCTTGTGCTCCACCACCAAATCTAACTTTTCCTCCCTCAATTGAGTTGATGTTAGCAAGATTCTGTCTGACACCAGTCATATGATGAGAACATCCACTGTCTAGTAACCACTGATCAGGAGTGACTCTGAGACATGAATTTGCTACCATGACCCTTTTCTTTGGAACCCAAATCTGCTTGATCTTCTGAATTCTTGTTCTTTTATTTTTGAGCCTCTGGCATGTCCTCTTAATGTGCCCCCATCTTCTGCAGTAGTAACATCTGTAGTTTTGATAAGTCAAAGAGTTTCTTCTATGACGCTTGATATTGTAGCTCTTGATTGGTTTTACTGCTGGGTGATAGCTGTTTCTCATGTTCTTTGCTAATGTCACACTGTCCTTTTTGAGTGGATCATCTGTTTTGGTGTGGCTATCACATCCAATTCCTTGTCTATCTCCTGGTGCTTTGAACATCATCTCCTGTGCATCCAGTACTTCAGCTCCAGCTATCTTCATCCACTTAATGTAACCTTGAGCTTTTGCAGTTCAAATTTTAGATCTGCATTATTTGTTTCTGCTTTCTCTAAATTTTGCTTCAAAACCTTTAGATCACATGCCAACTGATTCTTTTCTGCTATATTTCTTCCGTTAACCATAAGCAATTCAGTCCACTTTTCTTGAAGATCCATATGTTGTTCAACTAGATCATCTGACTCTGACTGTGAGATAAAAACTAAGTTGCTTTCCTCACAACCCTGATCTTCGTCAGTATCATCATCACTCCAGGTTATTGAAAATGCTTGTCTCTTCTTTTTAAGGTTGTTTGCACACTCAGTCTGAATGTGCCCATGACCACAACATTCAAAGCACAGCGGTCCTTTGTACTTGGAGCTGTTATCATAGGGCTTTCCTTCTTTGAACCGAGACTCCCTGAAGGTGGACGTCTTAGAAGGTCCTTCTTGAATTTGACTCTTTCCCTTCTTTTGAATCCACTTCTTTTTGAACTGCTTTGTGAAAAGAGACAGCTGTTCTTGGAATTCTTCATCAAATGCTAAACCATCTTCACAATTATTCTCCACATCTGTTCCCAGAAAGGCAATTTGCTTCTCTGGTTTTCGTCTCTTGCTATCCTCCTTCATGTTTAATTCAATGGTTTCAAGATTACCCATTAAGGCATCAAGGGTCATCTTTTTAGCATCATGTGATTGAGAGATTGCTTTGACATCCATATCAAACCTCTCTGGTAGTGATCTCAGCACCTTTAGAACAAGTTTTGATTCTGGAAATGGCTCCTGTAATCTAGCTGCTTGATTTGCAAGGTCGCGGACTCTTCCATGGAATTCTACAATAGTTTCTTTCTCATCCATTCGCAGATTTTCATATTGTGTCATGAGAATCTGATACTTTGCAGTTTTGACCTTCTCATCACCTTCATGTGTGACTTCAAGAATATCCCATGCTTCCTTTGCGCTAACACAGTTTCAGATGAGACGATATTGTGTGGCATCAACTGCACCAAAAATAGCATTTAAAGCTTTGTCATTATTCTCAGCGGCAAGGACTTCAGTTCTGCTATAGTCTTCAAATTTCTTGACAGTTGTCGTAGACAGATCATCCGAGTGCTTGACTGGTTCTGTCCAACCAGTTTCCACAGTTCTCCATACTCCTCCTGCTTGTGATTTCAAGAATACCCTCATACGCCCTTTCCAGAAGTTGTAGCTGTGACCACGCAGCAGGGGTGGCCTGGAAACACTGGCTCCTTCCTCCAGGTCTCCCATAATTTGTGATCGTTGAAAGCTAATAACTTAAGCTCAACAAGCTCTGATACCAATTGAAATTCCAGCACTCACAAGCAAACAACCACAACAGCAAACAAACAATGGCAAAACACAATTCCAGCACTCACAAAAGCTCAACAAGCTCTGATACCAATTGAAATTCCAGCACTCACAATTCCAGCACTCACAAGCAAACAAACACAAACAGAATAATAAACACACCAAGACACAAAGATTTGTTTACGCAGTTCGGAGCAGTATCTCCTACATCTGCGAGGCCCACATCCGTGTAATAGCCTTTCCACTAGATCAATGTAAGGATTACACTATCAAACTTCAATAGAACCTTCTAATGAATATGATCTGTCTACTTACGAGATCTGACAGCAAACTAGGTTTGTGTCTTCACCAGGCCTATTACACCTTCTTCTTGCTCTGCACGAAGGATGTGTTTCTGACCTTTGCTCAGCCCACCAGGTTGCAACAGCTGAACAATATCTAGAGAAGATCCATGACTGATCTTCTCATGCACTTCTCACACAGGTTTCTATTCTGATCGGAATTGTGGTGATCTCCCGCTCTCTCCTTGGATATTCTGAGTGTATTTCCGCATGCCTCTTTCTTCATGGCTGACTTCCTTTTATAGGGTGTTCATAACCCTAGTGGAGATGATACGAAACTCTTCAGGTGATAAGCTTGAACACCAGACACTCCTAGCAAGTCAGGACTTCTTCCGCAGATTTGCATTGCTCCACGTGTCCAGGAATTAACCAAGTCTTGAAGTAGTTCCCCGTAGCCAATCTTGAAGGATGTGTTGCTCTTCACGCTGGTCACCTCACGAAACCTTCTTTATATAGAACACTCGATATACGCAGAGTCCATATTGTATAGAAACTCTACACCATGACTGATAGGATGCTACAGCCCTTATCGTAACATAGACACACTACCAGTTCTACAGAAGGGTTTTGTCAAAAAATAATGCCAACATAAACTATATATCAATGTTAACTAGTTGGAGCTAACAAACACTTCCCTCATTTGGCATTAGAAAAAAGAACTAAGTAAAGTTTAAAAAGTGTACTCCCTGAGCATTGATGTTTAATACAAAACATCATTGTTGTATGTTCCCTATGAAACTGATACCATGTTTATAGCAAAAACAATTCCCCCAAAACTCCCCTTAATGCAAATCATTAGGTTTCGTGCTTGGAGCATTCACTACAAAAATGTAGTCTTCAAACACACCTACATATGGTTATGGTTTTAGTTGGGCAAGAACAAGGGATTTTAGAAACTTAAAACCATTTATGAAAACACTCATTTGATTCATGAAAAACATATTTTGTTTTGAGCCATGACTTAGAGAAATTGAATGAACTTGTTACAATAAAA